CCCCCTCCCCAGACCGGCCTGTACCCCGCTTCCTCCACCCGGTACCCCCTCCCCAGACTGATATGTACCCTGCTTCTTCCACCCGGTACCCCCTCCCCAGCTTCCTCCGCCTGGTACCCCATCCCCAGACTGGACCGGTACCCCGCACCTTCCACCTGGTACCCCACCCCAGACCGGCCTGTACCCCGCTTCCTCCGCCCAGTACCCCCTCCCCAGACTGGACCGGTAACCTACTTCCTCTGCCTGGTACCCCTTCAAACTGGACCGGTACCCCGCTTCTTCCATCCCGTACCCCCTACCCAGCTTCCTCCGCCCGGTACCCCCTCCCCAGACTGGACCGGTAACCTGCTTCCTCTGCCTGGTACCCCCCCCCAGACTGGACTGGTACCCCGCTTCCTCTGCCCAGTACCCCCTCCCCAGATCGGCCCTGTACCCCACTCCCTCCACCCAGTACCCCCACCTCAGGCCTGTCCCCTACCCCCTCATCTTCTACCCTGCTCCCCGCTACCCAAGACCTGCCCCACACTCTGCCCCTTCTACCCTGTGCCCCTCATCTCTGACCTGCCCCTACCCCTCATCCCCTGGCCTACACCACCCACCCTTGAGATGCCTCCTGCCCTGCAGCCACCCCACCTGCCCCCAACCCCTCACCCCTGCACTGCAGCCCCCACCCCAGACCTGCCCTGTACTATGCCCCTTCCACCCTGCATCCCTCACCCAACCTGCCCCTACCCCTCACCCCCTGCCCTAATAAACCTCTCACCATAGACCTGCCCGTACCCCTCAACCCCTGCCCTGCAGCCCAGCACCCCAGACCTACCCCATATCCCACAACCTCCTGTCTTGTACCCCCTTCAATGCTCCATCCCCCCAACTCCCCCATGTCACTCTTGCTGGTGCTGGGTGTGGGGGGGGGGGTAGGCGAGGAGCTAGGTGGACGGGGGAGGGGTCACACTCACTCTTGACGACCTCATTGGTGCTGGAGGGAGCAGGAGGCTCTCCTGTCTCACTGCCTCTCCAGAAGCCCCCAAAACAGCTGGTAGGGGTGGTGGGCGCCGTCAGCTCCAAGTCGCCCAGGAAGAGGGTGGAATGAATCTGCAGGGCCTCAGCTGAGCCAGGGAGAGAGAGAGAGAGAGAGCAGGGTGAGCACAGCAACCCCAGGGACCCTGCCCCTCACAGACCCCTGAAGGACAACCCAGAGGGGACCCCCAGCCCCCACTGGCCCCTATTGCCCCCCTGAGGGACATCCCAGAGGGGCCCCCTTACCCTCACTGGCCCCAAGGGACCCCCTAACCTCCATTGTGTCATCCCCCACTTGCCCACCTCAAGGGGACATCCCAGAGGGGACCCCCAAACCCCCACTATCCCAGGCCCCTCTACCCCCAATTGCCCACCTCAAGGGGACATCCCAGAGGGGACCCCCAAACCCCCACTGTCCCAGGCCCCTCTGCCCCTAATTACCCACCTCATGGGGACATCCTAGAGGGAACCCCCAAACCCCATTGTCCCCTCCTTGCCCCACAATATTACCCCAGCCCCTGGGGCCCCTGTGCTCCCAATGAGACTGCCCCAAAGGGATTCTGCCCCCCACAGCCCTTACCCAGCAGTGCAGAGGTGCCATCGCCCAGCGGGTATTTCTGGTAGCGAGGTACGCCCAGGGGGGGCACGGCGTGGAAGGCCTTGGCCAGCAGGGGCTCCAGGCGCGAGGCGCAGGGGTCAGCTGAGTGGAACAGGTTGTAGATCTGCTCACAAGCCGGGCGCATCTGGGCCACTGCAGGGACAGGGGGGTTAAATGCCTGCACCGGGGGAGGGGGCCGTTAGTGAGCCCCTGCACCTCGGCTGGGAGGGGAAATGGGGGGTGAGCAGGCAATGCGGGAAGAGTCACCCACTGAGTGAGCAGAGCAGGGGAGGGGAGCAGTGATGCAGGGGGGCAAGCAATGGGGAGCAGCAGCCCCTGTGCCTGGGGGGATGTGAGCAATCCAAGGGGAGTGAGCGAAACGGGGGACAGAGACCCATGCATCGGGGTGGGGGGCAGTGCGGCGGGGGAACAAATGTTTCAGGGGGTGGGATTGGCACCTAGGGGAATGAGGGGCCTCCCTCTCTGTTGGAGAGCTGCGGGGAGAAGCAGGGGTGCCAGAGGCCCTGTCTCGGAGCAATGGTGCCGGCCCTGGCTCAATGAAGGGGACACCCCAGAGGTGTCTGTATAAAGGCTGGGGCAAAGCAGAGACCCTGGAAATCCACACCAGCGGTGGGTGCGGTACGCAGCAGTCATTTCCCGCAACAAGTGGCCCCAGCAACAGAAACCGGCTTAGAACAATTTGCCAAGGGTCTCAGAATTATTCTGGGGCCGGTCTCCGGCCTGTGCTAGACAGGAGGTAAGACTAGCTGATCACAATGGGCTTTTCTGGCCTGGGAATCTAGGAGCCTATGAAAAAAGAAACGGCAGAAGTGACATCTAAACGACTCCCCACGAGGGGGATGGCAGAGCAGTGCAGACACTGGGAGGCCTGCTCCAGGACCATCTGGCAAAGAACCCTGGTTCCATCCCAGGCGAGGTTCTGCGAGCCGCCCAATCCACCAGCCACCGGGATGGAGACCCAGACCCCCCAGAGGAGAGGCGAGAGCCCAAGGGTGACAGCCGCAGTGGCCCCAGCGCAGGAATTAGAGCAGGGCCGGCATCCGGGGCTGCAGCGGCAGGAGCTGGCTGAGTGGGGCAAGCAGCCAAAGAGATCCACTGGGACAGAGATGCTGGATTGGCGACCCTGTTCAAGGTGCATCCTTTCCCTCCAAGGCAGCCTGTGAACCAGATCCCCCT